AATGTTTTGCCTACTATACTTGATAGGAATGGTGATAGTGGCTGTCCTTTTCTTGTTCCTCATTTCAGAAGGAAAGATTTCTGGTTTTCCCCATTTAATATGATATTGGTCATTGGTTTGCCATAAATGGATTTTAACACATTGAGAAATCCTCTACCTAGTTTATTCAGTGTTTTCATCATGAATGGACATTGAATTTTGTCATAGGTTTTTTTCTTGGTCTATTGAAATGATCATGTGATTTTTGTCTTTATTTCTGTTTATGTGATATATCACATTTATCGTTTTGCATATGTTGAACCATCCTTGCAGTCCTAGGATGAAACTTATTTGATCATGATGTATGATCTTTTCAATAGTTTGTTGCATTCTGTTTGGCAGTATCTTTTTGAGGATCTTTGCCTCTGTGTTCATTAAACAGACTGCCCTGTAGTAGTTTTCTTGTAGGTTGACTCCTTTTCTGTTTTCAGAATCAAGGTAATGCTAACTCCCAGGAATGACTTAGGCAGCACTTTTTTCTTCAATTTCACTAGAGTTTGAGAAGTATTAGCATTGGATCTATCCTGAAGTTCTTATTGAATTCTGTGGTAAATCCATTGAGACCTGGATTTTTCTTCATTGGTATTCTTTTTATTACTGCCTCAATTTCATTGGTTGTAATTGGATTATTCAGAGATTTTCTATTTTCTTGGTTGAATTTTGGTAATTCATAGATATCTAGGAATTTATCCACTACTGGATTCTCCAATTTATTTGAGTTGAAGTTTCCAAGTACCTATTAATAATCCTCTGAATTTGGGCAGTGTCTGCTGTAATTCTATCTATTGGATTTCTAATTGCATTGGTGTAGGTGTTTTCTTTCCTTGTTTTTGGTATGATTGACTAAGAGTTTGTATATTTTGTTTATGCTTTTGAAGAACCATTTCTTCAATTCATTGATTTTCTGTATTGCTTTAGTGTAAATATCATTAATTTCTGCTCTGACCTTCATAATTTTCTTCTTCACACAAGCTTTGGATTTCATTGTTCTTGTTTTCTAGGGTCTTGAGGTGCATCCTTGGTTATTTACTTGGATTTGCCCTTTTTTTCTGTTGGGGGTATTCACAGAGACAGACTTTTCTCTTAGGACTGCTTTCGTTATGTCCCATAATTCTGGGATTATCATTTGATTCTAGGAATTATCTAATTTCTTCCTTAATTTCTTCTTTGATCCACTAAGAATTCAAGAGGGTATTGTTTAATCTCCATGTGCTTGTATAACTTCTGTGGTTTCTTTTGCCACTGATGTTTTAGTTTCATTGCACTGTGATTTGATAATATGCGTGGGTAATTTTGATTCTTTTATATTTACTTAATCATGTCTTATTGGCTAGTATGTGATCTATCTTGGAGAAAGTTTTATGTGCTGCTGAGAAGAATGTTTATTCTGTCACTTGGGGGTGAAACACTCTGTAGATGTCTATTACATCCATTTGTTCAATGGTGTGGTTTGACTCTCATATTTCTTGTTAATTTTTTTGATCCAGTTGATCTATTTTTATAGTGGGATATTGAGGCCCCCAGCTATAATTGTGTTAATGTTTATCTGATCTTTTTTGTGCAATAGTATTTGTTTTATGAAATTAGTGCACTAGTCTTTAGTGCATATATTTATAATTATTATTTTTCCCTGCTAAATTGCTTCCTTAGCCAATATGTAGTGACCTTCTTTGTCTCTTCTGATCAGTTTTGTGTTGAAGTTCACTTTGTCTGAAAATAAGATAGTTACTCCTGCTTGCCCTAGGGCTCTTTTTCATGGGAAATTATCTTCAGTCCTTTGATTTTTATAGTCTATAAATTTCTTTTTCTAGTTCTAGTTCTAGTGTCCTTCTCCTTCTTCTCCTTCTTCTTCTTCATCTTCATTTTTGTCTTTTGAGACAGAGTCTTGCTTTTTAGTTCAAGCTGGACTTGAACTCACTATGTAGCCAAGGCTGGTCTCAAACTCACAGTGATCCTTCTGCCTCAGGCTCCTGTGTGCCAAGATTACACCCAGCATTATAAATTTCTTTTTTATTTAAATGTGTTTCATGTATATAGAATGCTGTTGGGTTTTGGTTTTGATCCAAACTGTTAATCTATGTTTTATGGTTGGGGAGTTGAGTCCATTCACATTGAAAATTATTACTGAAAGGTGTTCACTTAATTGTGTCATTGCATTATTTTCCTGTTGCTGATTTAATTGTTTTCTTCTGTTGCTGAACTGCTCACCCTGCTTGATGTATTGATTTCATCAGATATTTTGACATCCTTAGCTTCATTGCCCCTTTCTAATCTATACTTCAGAAATATTTGGAGGGCTGATTTGGTGATTAGGAATTTCTTAAGGTGTTTTATGTCATGGAAAGACCTTATTTCTCCATCAATTTTGAAAGATACTTTGCAGGATGTATTAGTCTGGGTTAGAAGTTGTTCCTTCAGACACTTCACACCAATCTCTCTTGGCCTTTAAGATTTGTGTTGAGAAATTTGCCGTAAGGGGTTTATCTTTATAAGTGATTTGTTGCTTTTTCTCTAATAGCTCTTAAGATTCTGTCTTTTTGTTGGACTTCTGGAATTTTGACTATGATGTGATGTGGAGGATATCTTTTTGATAATGGCTATTTGGGTTCTGCTATTATTTCTGTAAACTAGTGTGTGTGTGTGTGTGTGTGTGTGTGTGTGTGTACCATTCATACTGCCTTCTGAGTTTGCACGAGCTCCACTAATCTTAGTCTTCCTACTTCATCTAGTAGCTGTTGGGTCCATTTTACATATTTTCTTCTGTTTTTAATATATCTATGATTAAATGGTCACCTTCATCAGCTCTATTGTTTAGTTCTGACCCTCTTCTCACAGTGCTCACTTCTGAACAATGAATGTTTAGTCTATACTTTCAATAGAATATTTAATCTTCTGGATTTCTGTTTGGTAGCATTTCATGTATTCTAATTCTTTGCTAAAATGATCATTGATTTTTGCATGGCTTTGTTTAGCTCAGCTAGCTTTTTATCAGTATCTTCTCTAAGCTCCCTGGTCATTTTTCTTAAGTCTATTATCTGTTTAGTTCTATCAACTTTGAACTCACCAAACATTTTATTGATCTGTTTGTTTTTGTCTCTTCTCTAATCACATTATATAATTCAGCTCTTTGCTTTTGATTTTCTCCCCATTGATCAACTTTGGGGGGAGTTTGGAGTTTTGGAAGTGTTTTTTGCCTTGTTTTTTCATGCTTATATTGGTTTTGGTGTGTGTGTGTGTGTGTGTGTGTGTGTATGTGCTGAGAGTGGTAGACTGATTGTGGTGGAAAGATTTTGTTCCTAGCACAGAGATCTCTTTAGTCGGTCTTTAATTTCCAGTGATCCACTCTGGGCCTGACTAACTATAGGCTTTAGCCTCTGTCCCAAGATCTAACCACCTCTGTTAATTTGGAGAGGGGAGAGTACAGTGTAATTGCCCAGCACCCAGTTCTCTGGAGAAGGACCATAGCTTTATGACACAAAGGCAAACTAGATATTGGCATATAGCAAAATACTAGTTAATAACTACAACTATTCCACCCTGGCCATAGCACCTAAATCAGCAACAATCATAGAGTCAAAGACAAATTGGATATTGACATACCATAAAAAACAATAAAAACTACCACCACTGTACCAATGTTAACAGCAGAAAAGAGATCTGCAATGATGACACAGACACAAAGCAAATATTGATATACAATAAATATCTACTAAATGCAACAACTACGCTACTATTAACAAAAAAATTAAAAATGATAGCATAGTCAATGAAATATCTAAAAATTAGTAAAGCTTACCAGCATACTAATAAAAATGAAGGGATTTGGAAAGGGGAAATGAAAGAAATAAAATTAGGAAAAAGATTAGAAGGAAGAGAGAAAAATGACATAGAGCATACTATTTAGAAATAAAAGAAAATTAATAGAATTAGACAAAAGCAACAGAAAGGACAAGAAAAGAAGAAACCAAGAAAAAAGCAGAGAACAAAAGAAAGAAAATGAGGAAAAAAGAAAATCTCCCAATCCAACAAACAGTGAAGAAAAATAGAAATGAGTTTAAAAAAAAAGAAAAATTCCTCAATGTTTTTGAATGAGTGATTTCTTCCCAAGATAGGTAGCATTGGAATCCACCAGATGTGGGGGAGGTCTAGTGAGTCACTACTAAGTGATATTTTGTTGCCAGACTCACATTTTTGTGTGTGAGTGCGGAGTCTTGCCCTGACTTTTCTGGTGGGTGTTGTGTTCATGGAATCTGCCCTAGGGCTGTATTTACTCCAGCCACTCCCAGTTTTTGGGTCCCCTGTTTACCCGAAGTCACTGCTTTCTCAACCTAGCTTTAAGGTCTGTGGGTTAATAAGGTGCCTCCATTGCTGCAGAGGCTCCTCTGTCCATATACCCCAGGCAGTGGCACCTGTCCAAACCAATGCATTCCCCTGATCATGCTGGCAGGTGCGGAAGTCACATAGATCCCTTTGCTCTGTGCTGGGAGCAGGCAGTGAGACAGGAGAAGAGGGTACGCAGTCTGGTGGACTTAATGTCAGCACTTTCAGGCCCAGCTGCCTCCGAAAAACACACACAACTGTCCAGGCTTCTCACCATGGAGGGCAGGACTCCCATGAGCTTCCTTGCCTGACGTTAAATTTCTCAGGGGTCTGTGGGTAGTCAGCACCCTCTCTGTGATTTGTGGCCATCTCCCACCCAGAAATCCAGAAGTATAGTTTTTCTATAGCTGTTCTGTAGTTCGGTGTTAAGAACTTAATCCCTTCCCAAAGTGGCTTCTGATTAAACACTCAATTTTGGCAGGGACTGCACTGGATTTCCTCTCCAACACTAGCCTGTCACGTGGAAGGAGTTACTCCATGCTGTATTTGCAGCTTACAATACCATGGGCTTTTCTTGGGGCTAGTGCAGACAGCCCAATCCACTGTTTCTCACTGGAGCTCCTGACTATCTCCAGGCTTACCTTGTGTTAATGCAGACAGATTCCTTTCCCTGGGAGCTGGGGTTAGCATTCCAGAATGCTTTGTTCATTTCTCCAATTTGTGCTCAGTTTTCCAACTTCTCTGTAGCTTCTAGTTTTTCTGTTACCTCCCTTCAGATCCCTGGAGGTCTACTTTTTTTTTCTTTGCCACATTCTTTTCCAAGTGCCCCAACTCCAGGCCACAGAAAAGCTGTATTTAGCTGGGGATTTAGCTCAGCGGCAAAAGCGCCTGCCTGGCAAGCGCAAGGTCGTGAGTTCGGTTCCCGGTACCGGAGAAAAACAAAAAAAAAAAAAAAAGAAAAGCTGTATTTAGATGCTTGGTCTACAGTCTGCCATTTTTAATCTCTCCATAGATCTAATTTTCTTTATCTATTTATCTGTTAGTAGGTACATAGCCTACTTCCACATCTTTGCTATTGTGAGTTGTGTTATAATAAACATGGCTATTTAGGTATCACTACAGTATGATGACCTTAATTGCTATACCAAAAGAGGTATAAATAATCAAATGGTAACTCCATTTTTAATTTTCTGAGGAACGCTCAATGATTTTCATAGTGCCTGTACTAATTTATATTCTTACCAGCAGTGTAGAAGGGCTCTTTTTTTCTTTTTTCCTTGCATGTTCACCAGCATTTATTGTTTTATTTTTTTTTATTTATTTTTTGTTCTTGGTGATAGTCTTTGTGCCTGGGGTGAGATAGAATTTTGATGTAGTTTTGATTTGCATTTCCATAATATGTAAAGATGTTGACTATCTTTTCATATACTTATTGGCCATTTTTACTTCTTCTGAGAAGTGTCTGTTCAATTCATTTGTCCATTTATTGCTTGAGCTATTTTTTTTGGTGTTGTTTTTGAGTTCTCTATATATATTGGTTCTCTGTCATAAAAGGAACTGGCCAAGATTTTCCCCCGTTCTGTAGGCTGTTTCTTCACTCTGTTAGTTGTTTCATTTGCTGTGCAGAAGCTTTTCAATTTTATGTAGTCCCATTTGTTGATTCTTGCTATTATTCCCTGTGCTGTTGGAGTTCTATTTAGGAAGTTTTTGCCTATATCCATAGCTTCAAGTGTTTCCTCTATGTTTTCTTTCAGTGTGTTTTCTTTCAGTAACTCTATATTTTCTTTCAGTAGTTTAGAAGTTTTGGATTTTATACATAGGTCTTTGATCCATTTTGAATTTACTTTTGTACAGGGTGAGTGATATGGGTCTCATTTCAATCTTCTACACCTGAATATTCTGTTTTCCTAGCACCATTTGCTAAACAGGCTATCTTTTCTCCAGTGTATATTTTTGGCTCCTTTGTCCAAAATCAGCTTCTGGTTGTGTTTATCTGGATTTGTTCCTGTGTCCTCTGTTCTATTTTATTGGTCTATCTGTCTTTTTGTGCCACTACCATGCTGTTTTTGTTACTATGACTTTGTAGAATAGTTTAAAATTGGATATTACGGTGTCTCCAGCCTTACTCTTTTTGCTTATGATTGCATGGGTTATTTTGTGGGAAAGAGAGGTCCAGAGGTCTGGTTGACAGCCGTGGCAGAGGAGAGAGTCTGAGCACACTCGGACTCATCACGTCCTCGGCACACTGAGTGAGTCACCCTGCCTAGGCTGTCCCGCTCTGACCTCTTACTTCTGCACAGCCCCCCGCCAAAAGTACTGCCTCCAAGCCACGCCCCTAGCCCGCCTCCATTGCCACGCCTCTAGCCTGCTCCGTAAAATGCCTGGTACTTCCCCAATAAACCGGATGTGCGCCATCAGCCTGGTCTCCGGTGTCTTCTTTGCACCGTGTTGCCACTTACCACGGGCCCAGGTCCCTCGACCCAAGGAGGTTCTACCTCATTATTTTGGTTCTCTTGTGTTTCCATATGAAATTGGGTAATGTTATTTCTAGTTCTGTGAAGAATGTTAGTGGTATTTTGGTGGAAATTGCATTGAATTTGTAGATTATTTTTGGTAATATGGCCATTCAACAATATTAATTCTGCCAATCTATGAACATGGGAAGTCTTTCCATTGTCTAGTGTCTTCTTCAATTTCTTTCTTCAATATTCTGAAATTTTCACTGTAAAGACCTTTCACCTCCTTGGTTAGAATAGTTTTTCTGATGACTTTCTCATATACACAATATTGTTGTGTTCGAATTTATTGATTTATTTATTAAAATAAATTTTACTGGTCCCTAACAGCCTTTGCTCATGGCATTTTCTTCTGATCCTGTCAGTGTCAAAGCCTCAAATCATTCACACCCACCTGTCCTGAAATCCTGCTTGGCGTTTGAGACTGAGAGGCATGTGACCCTATTCTGACTCAATATTTCACATGCCATGTTCTAGTCCTAATAATAATAATAATGAAAATAACAACAACCAGCATTCATGTAGCTCTTTCTTTGTGCCAGGGGTAGCTCTTTGAAGTAGGTGTTACCTCTACTTTTTAGATGAGGAAATAAAACTTGGTGTAAATAAGGAACTAATCCAGACAATGAATGACAGAATGGGTATTCTAACCCCAAATTCTAGTTGGCACTCTTCACCATGGTGCTTTTCATGTCTAGGTCTTCTGTGGGTTATTACCTGCCTGGAATTGTGATCAATTTGTCTTCTATCATCGGGAGTTCTTATACAGCCAAGAACAGAGGGGGCCGCAATACAGAAGTCACTGTAAGAGCTGCCAAGAATACAATTTGCAAGCACAAATCCCTCAGCATTGGAAATCTTTTACTACTCGTACTCACACGTTGTCACACTCAGCATTTGGCTTTTTCTGCTGTGTCTGCAGCAGTTTGGTGGTTCTAATAGCCGATGGATTAGTGCTGATCTACACTGATTGCTCACACCTGCAATTCAAACTAACCCCTGTTCTGCTTTGTGCAGTCAGCCATGCCCGGGTAAGACCATCAGCTTCCCAAGTGACAGACCAACACAGACCCACCTGACTGGTCTGACCAGACACCTGTGAGTTCTGTAAAGTGGGAAGGGAGGAAGGGGGATGGGCAAGGTGAAATTACACAATTAAAGCGCTAAATGTAAACTGTAAAAGAATGAGCACATCATCTATTTCTCAGAAAGAGTATAAACTATGTAGATGGAAAACATCAAAGGTCTCCAGCTAAGGAGCACAGAGCAGAGACTGGCAATGGAATTTTCATAGGTACCAGGATCTGCTACCCATGTTTTCTCTGTACAGGAAGCTTTAGTCAAAGATGTCAGGTAGACTTTAGATTATAAAAATTACCTAATATAATCATGCTTTAATTTCTAGTACCACTTCTACTAGTGAGCTCTAGATATATCTGCAACACTGTCCTAATAATCCTCATAATGTCTTCTGGAAATAAGCAATTTGGATAGAAAAATACTGCTCATGAAAACGAATGCAACTTGCTCAGAACATCTGTAACGAGGCCAGAAAAAAATGTATCACTCTTTTTCATAAAAAAAAATTTTCTTCTAAATTTTTTATGGGTCTTAGTTTGCAGTGTGTAATAATTTATAGGAAAATGCATGATACATACATGCATGTTTTATATGTGTTTGCTTTCATAACCATAGGCACAGAAGTAAAAGTCAGGTCCATATTCCCTATGTTACCCTTGTCCTTGGCTATCTATACTGTCTTCGCAGGGGAATAGTTGGTAAATTCTGAGGAACTGGAATAATTCCCAGTTATAACCATAAATAATTGGATTGGATTGGATTTCCTTCCTCAGAAAAAATCTCTCTCTAATTTTTCTTTGAGTTAGATTTTTTATATAATCTAAGTTTTGCTAAATTCATTTGAGCTGTCTGACTAATGTTTCTCAATGGGTAAGGGAAATTATCAAAAAGGTAAAGTTAAAAGCTTGTTTGGATTTAAAAGCAGTATTTTCCAAATATAGCCAAATATATTCACAATGTCTTCTATAAGTTGTCATTTTTCTTAGAATGATACTTACTAGAACACTGAAGTAGAAGATCTTATTTTTTTAATTCCAGGTTGATTTGAGGCTAGTTGAGGGTTACCTGTCTATGAACTTAAGGGCTCTAATTTCTTCTGAAGAAAAATTGGAGATAATTTGAGGCGGCCTTTATGGAAGTGATGTCCACACTCCCCAAAATCATTCTACAGATCATCACTGAAGGCATGATAAAACAACAGATACCTAGGATCTTCTCATGTTTTTTCTAGTTTTCTCTTCAGAGCAATTCTGTGTCCTACCTTGTGATATTTTCAAAAATACTATCATTTCATTAGTCAGCTATCAAAGCTGGTTCATGGGACTAGACTTGAACCTCAGCGGTTTCAAGTTGAAGATGTCCAAGTCTGGTTCTACATAACACTGCCTTCTGGCCAAGCCTGAGCTGCTCCAGACGATGTGTGACTACTTTGGAGCTGAGGGTTCATCTCACCTTGAGCGGGTGAAACCTAGGGGCTTGACCCATGACAAACCACTCATATCACCCGGAAGGCTGCACCTCCTTGACAACCCCTTTTCTCTAGTGTACCTTTCTATTAAGCAGTGGGAGGGAAGGGGCTTAGGGAGCCAAACCACCAGCCTGGAAACACAGGACAGAAGAAGCTGCTGGGAACCCACACGTGTCACCGCCCATGTCGTTCCTCTTAAATGTTTCTTCTGATGGATCATTTCAAAAAAGCACAACTCAGAATTACCACCAGTCTCTTGTAGGTTAAGCATCACATGGCAGACACTGTAACAGACACTTCACTCATCTCTGTGTTTCAAAAGATGGCCTCCAAGCCTGGGCATGAGGAAGGGCTCTGCTCCCAAGACCGCTGCATTCAAATGCTGCCTCTACTGTCTCAGCTGCTCGACTTAGCAATCCCCTCATGGTAAATCCTTTCTCACAGCGTTTCTGTGTGAATTAAATGATGCAAATCTCGTAACACACTTAGTAAAATGCCTGGTCAGCACATAAGTGCTCAACACAAATTGGGCATTATTGTCACAATGACCCTGTAAGGGTGGTAACATTAGCATTATTCTGTAGGTGGAAAGATCGAGATTCGGGATAACGAGAATTCTCAAAATCTGGTCCCCGTGAACTAGTTAGAAATGCAAACTCTTCAGCCTGCCCAAGACCCACTGACTCATGAGCAGGCCCCTAAGTCTGTGTGCTGTGGTCCTCTAGGGGTCCTCATGCATGCTGAAGTGTGAGCACTGTGCAAATCAACT